TCAGCCCACACGTCTTGGTTTCCTTTGCTTGAGCAACTTGGATTTCTGTCACCTGCAACCTAAAGTGCCCTGAACAATGGAGATGAGAGCTGCGTTAAAGTGCGAGGGGGCCAGGTGAAGACAATTTGTATAATAGCCCTGGGACGCTATTGGTCTATTTCACAGCGCTGAGGCTGGCACCAGTGGGCACAGCCAGCGGTGGCTCCAGCTGTTGGCACCCGAGCACGAGTCCTGCCAGCGGGATGGTGTTCTCCATGCCCTGTAATATGACAAGAACAAAGCTCAATTTTTCATCATGTCCCCGATGGAGCAGTAAGAGTTATTCATTTATTAAGTCGACCCTGAGTAGATGTCTTTTTAATACTCTCTGTCACAAAATGAGAAGTAAATAGACATCATTCCTACCGAATACTCAAGTGTGACATCTGCAGGCCGGATGGTCACGCAGTAACCATGGTTCCAACCAGGATGTTTGCTAGACATTTGCTCCCAAGTGAGCTAAGTGGGCCTGTCTTAAGAAAACAGCTGACAATACTTATTGCCGGTGATGCAGTTCAAGCTTTCAATATTTTCAGAATGACCATGCATTCTATTACGAAACCACGTACGCATAAAGTATGTATTCACAGTACTAGACGCACAGCGTGAGAGTGAAATCATTGATATGGTTGTTGAGTTCTACACTGCAGCTGGGAAGAAAATCCCACTTGTAGAATTTGGGTGTAGTGTCAGGTGATTATCTAGGACTACCTGGGGGGCTAGAAAAATACTCCTCCCCCCAACCACGTATCTGTGAGGCTGGAGAGGCTTCATGTAATTCAACCAACATAACACAGCAGGCGAGTGGAGGCAGGAGCAGACATGAGAGTCCCCCTTCCTTCTATGAAGCCAAACGATAGAGATTTGTAAAAATGTCAAAAAAACCATGCTTCTCATTTTTTTAATTAGCAAAAAAATGGCTTTTTAATAAAAACATGATTAACATGTAATTGGTCATCATCGTTTAGATGAGGTGATACAGCAATTTACTGTTTCCTCACCTTCAGTCTCCAACATGTGAATGTTAGTGGATTGAGCTCAGGGAGCTAGGAGCCCCTGGCCCCTCCTCACTGTCACGTGCCACCAGGAAGTGTGCGAGTCACCGAAGCCCAAGGGGAAAGGGAGGAGAGAGCAGCTTTAAGCCCTTGGGTTTAGGAGGATCTGAAAGACCAGGGCAGTTGATCTGTTTCATGATGCCCCCTCTGTCCAGCAAGAGACATCAGGACATCTGGAGAGGGGTGACCTCAGCGGTGGGGCTCAGTGAGATTCAGCTTATTCTTTGATCCCCTTTTTCTCAAAACAACTAGGGATCACTTTGGGACCAGTTCTCCCATCCTGAGTGGTCTCTGAATGCCTGGAATTCAAAATATCCTCGAGTGACCCGATTGCATTTTTTTTT